CGCGCACTGGCCTGCGCTCTCACGTGGGGAGTCAACGACTTTGCCTCTCTAACTTTTTCGTAGAGAAGTCTGCTCAGAAAACAAAATCGCCACGACCAAATACCCGTGTCTGAAGGCCTCGGGCGAGCTCACCACGTGTTTCAGGTAAGCCTCAGGCTGTGTCGTGTCGCCGCTGGGCACCCAGGCTAGTGGGAAGGCGGCGCCGCCAAGGAGGGGGATGGAGGTGCTTTCGGGCACGGGGTGCTGGGATGCGCTGGGTGACTTCTCCGTGGTGCGCACCTTTCTCTGTGTTTTCTGGGCCAGGGCAGCAACAGGCACCCGAGAGTCTGCACCTAGAGTCTGTGCCCTAAGGGCCAGAGGCTGTTTGCTGGTCTCGGGAACTTTTGCGTGGCGGAGGTTGGAGGGGAAGAGGTGGAAAGTTTTTAAGGAAAGTGGATCGGATTGTGGTTGTAAACAGCGAGGCAGAGACGAATGACTGCTTTTATATCTTGTTTTGAAAACACAACATCAACAAGTAAATACTTGGCCTTGGGCTGTCCTGTGACCTTCTGCCAGGACAGAGTGTAACACTGTCAGGGCCTCTGTGGGCAAAGGGGTGGGGAGATGGTTGTGTTGATTGAAAACAAAAACAAAATGTCAAGATTGTTGAGCCATCAAGAAGAGGAACAGTCTTTTTCCTAAAACGTGGCCCACAGAGCACCTGTGTGCTTGTTAAAGCTAAGCCTGGATGGAGCTAGGGAATCTATAGTTTGGAAAATGCTCCCCAGTTGTTTTTTTCTCAACAAAAGGAAGGGGAGGCACTGTTCTCTGCTTGCAGCTTTTTGGAGGTGAGGGTTGATGTGGTTTTCATCATGTGTTCTTGGCTTCTATTCATTCCAGTGCTCTCACTGGACGGAGGAGGCGTGCACCCATAAGCGTGTCTTAGTTGCCTGCTTTCTAAAGGTGCTGTGGGAGATACTGTGATCCCCATACACACCGGACTCATCTCCGTCTTTGGGATCCATACACTGTTTGGGGTGCCAGGATAAATATTGGGCAGTGCTAGGTAACACTGCAACCCCCAGAGATGAACTTGAAAGAAAAGGAAATTTTACTATTTATAATGTCATAGTGGATGAATCAACCATGATTGTTTTCAGCTTGCAGGAACATGTTATTTCATGGGCTCAGAGGTTCTGGTGTAAGTGGTTTCAGGGCTGGTCAGTTTAGTGGTACAAAAGCGCATCAGTTACGCCAGGTGCCATGCTTTAAAATCTGTCCTTGGCGGTGGAATGATGATGGGCTTTTAGGCGAATCAATAGTCACTCCTTGGGAAGGGCCGCCTTCTCCAGACATAGTGTGTGAGTGTGTGTGTGTGTGTGTGTGTGTGACCACTGAACAAAATACGTGAGGGTTAGTGGGACATGGTATGTGTGTGTGACCACTGAACAAAATACGTGAGGGTTAGAGAAGGAGGAAGAAGTGTGTTTAGTTGGCAGGTAAAGACTGGAAGAGGTTAACTGGGTAAGCAAGGTCACCCAACTGGTGAAATGACTTGGTGGCACTGGCACCAGAATTGCTTGCCTGGTTCTAGCCCTGTGTTTCATCCACATGACCACAATATTTCTTCGGACGCATTGTTTTCCTATCACCACAGTAGAAAGCCTCTAATTTAACATGGAAAGTGTCCCTGAGGTGGTTTGCTCATTTGTTCAGAGCCTGAAGGTCTGCCTGCGCATAAATCAGCGAGTTACAGAATGCATGTCCAATTTGCAGGAGCCACGGGTGCCTGATGAGTGTCCTAAGGTTAGGACAAGTCCATTTGTTAGGACTGTTACTGTCATTTTTTTTCCCCTTCAGATGTTTGAAACAGCAGGGTTTCTTTCACACCTAGACTCTCGGCAAGAAACACTAGCAGCGTCTCGATGTGTTTCCACTAAGAGGAATGGGAGAGGATGTTTCCAGCTGGAGAAAATGCCCCGTGAATATTCAGTTATTTGGGTTTAAGTTACTTTATGGGAGTGGAGAATTCTAGGTGTACTCCATTGCTTTAACACTACTTCCATAATTTAGTGCTTTTTTCCCTTTGTATTCTCATTCCTTTATTTTCTATTTTAGATCCCCCCCCCCAAATTGAGATATAAGTGACATTGAGCACACAAATCTAAACTCTGCAGTTCCATATGTGTACACCCATGCAACCTCCACTCGGGGACAATACAGGGCAGTTCCAGTGGTTTAGAAGCTGTCTCAGGTCATCCAATCAGTACATCCCACCAAAAGTTAGTAATTTTGTAAAGATAGTGTCTTGGCAGTTGCTGCCCCATTTTGTTTTTGAACCCTGAGAATGGAGGAATACTATGGACGCCTTGGTTTGTGAATTGTGGTTGTCCTGGCTCTTGCTAATTCGACTGTGGTCTGGACACCAGCCACGTGGGGATCATCTGGAAGCCTGTTAGAGTCCTGGACCTCTGGAACCAGAACCTGCAGGTTAATGAGATGTGATTAAAGCTGGGAAAGCTTCAGCTGTAGAAGGCAGGCTCCTCAACCCGGGTCAGGGTTGGGGTGGGGGGGCGCTCTGCAGATGGACCGCATTCACCTTAAACCAGACGGAGAACCAGCCTTCCAGGAAACCAACTCTTCAGCTCTTAGGCGACCCCCAATTAAGCTGTAAGTACCGCAGCAACGCTACTGCTCTGGGAACTCTATCTGATTACGTAGGCCCACTCTTTACTAGCTGCCTTTTGGTGAACAGCTTTAGCACAGAGAAAGAACTTCTTGAACTTGTTGAAAATGACTTAAGAAATTATTATTATTGATATGGAGATGGGTTTAATACTAAAATGAGTATGGTAGATGCAATAAATCTGATCTCCTACCTAAAAAGATAGGGAGATGAAAAAATGAGAATAATCTTTATTCTGCCCCTCCCCCACCCCGTACATTTCTACGTGGCTTCACGTAAGCAGCATCTCTCCATTTTAGCCTTTTGCAATATGTTAAATAATGACAATTTGAGGATTGACTATGTATTCAGCACTGTTCTATGCACTTTGCATACATAAAGTCTTATCCTCAAAGCCACACTGTAGCATTTGTATTCTCAGTTTTGCAGAGGAGGGAACCCAGACTCAAAGGGATTAAGTAAACTTGCCCAGAGTCACAATTAATACATGTGAGAGCCAAGATTCAAACCCAAGTTTGTCTGACTTCAAAGTCTGGGTCCTTTTATCTTCCCAGAGGTGTCTACAGATGAGGCCGAACTTTCCAGATCCTGGGATCTAAGTAAGGAAGAAGACTAAATTCAAGTGACTATAAATTCAAAAGAAAGTTTAATAGAAACCCAGGTCATGGTGCGAACCCATTTAGATGGGTCCCAACATTCACCATGACCATAGTGGTTTATGCCCTTGAGATCTGTCTTAAACAATTAACTCTGTATTATCATATTATACACAAAATTGGTTCATACATGTATAGCTTTCCTTCCTTGTAGGATTTTACCTTAATCATAGGGTCTGTCTCTAGAGATTCTCTAGGGCAGTGGTCGGCAAACTGCAGCTCTCGAGCGACATGCGGCTCTTTGGCCCCTTGAGTGTGGCCACGAAGTTTCAATCACACTGTATGTGCACACCCGCACGTGGTATTTTGTGGAAGAGTCACACTCAAGGGGCCGCAGTTTGCTGACCACTGCTCTAGGGCAGTATACATTGTGCCAATACCCAAAATGTACTACGCACTGTTGAATGAATGCCAATGACACCTTAACAAGAGTCCATATTTACTTAACATTATCATCTGACATAGGGCATACTCTTTCCCAGCTAAGATGTCAGAGTTGGTGTGGGATGTAGCTGAGTTTATTAGAGCCAAATGAAGCATATAAAGCTATCATGGCCTTACTCCTCCTGTGACTATTAAAGCTTTTCCCACAAGCTGACTTTCCCTTAACCGCCCCCCCCACCCCCCAAACCATGTAGCTTGAATGAAAGTTTTGTGTTTATTTTCACCTTCCTTTATGGGTCTCATATCAATAAAAGGAAATGTTAAAGGCTTTTTAAAAATAAGACAAAAGGAATACATATGTTATGTGTATGAATTGTCAGTAAAATCCAGTTTTTACTGAGTGAGGCTGTGTCTAATAAACATCCTAGTTAAATTTTTTGGTCTATTACAGATTTATTGAACATCTATTATGAGCTTAAAATAGTCCTAGAGCCCTAGCTGGTTTGGCTCAGTGGATAGAATGTCAGCCTGCAGACTCAAGGGTCCTGGATTCAGTTCCTATCAAGGGCATATGCAATGGGTGGCAGGCTCAATCCCCAGTGGGGGATGTGCAGGAGGCAGCCGATCAATGATTCTCTCTCATCATTGATGTTTCTATCTCTCTCCCTCTCTCTCTGAAATCAATAAAAATATATTTTAAAAAATAGTCCTAGAAAATGAGCACAGAAGAATAAGCTACAGTTACTGGTTGCAGTTTACAGACTTGATTTTCAGACAAGGCCTTTGAAACTGTAACCAACACACATGGTACATGATTGAGTTCAAAGTCATGTAGTTTACACTATACTATCAATGATCAGGGAGAGATTCAAGCAGCTGGGAACGAGTTTATGGGGAAGAGAGCATAGCTTTGTTTTTCAGCATGGCTGTTTAACACAGTGTGCTCGGTGTTTGTCTAAGTTGCATTAGCTATGATTTTCAGCATCGGGGTTCATGGACCTCCAAGTGGAGGCCCCCAGCTGCCCCTCAGCTGTATTTGTTCAGGCAGTGGTGTCTTACTAGGCACTGCTCTTGCTCAGGGTCATGTTCCCATAGGAAGTAATGACATGGGGAGGCAAACCTCCCACTTCTCTTTGAGATAATACAACAGCGTTGCCAAATCCTATTAAAACTTGGACGTTAATGTGATATTTCTGCAAATGTGTTTACTTGGAATTTGGAGAACAAGAAGGTCGCTTAATTAGAGCAGCATCACCAGATGAGAGCACCGGACTGTAGCTAAGGCTACACTGCGGGAAGGCCTGGAGAATGCACTATCTGGTAGGTCACCGGGTTCCTACAGAAGACTTCGGTAATGTCAAACATGCATAATAGTAGAAACTCAGCCAGGGTTTGAATTCCAGCTCTACCATTTGTGTTGTGACCTTAAACAGTTTCTT